GAGGGGCGCCTCCTCTTCCTCTTCCTCTTCCTCTTCCTCTTCTCTTCTCCCTTCTCCTCTCCTTTCTCCTCTCTCTTCTCTGGTTGCCAACGTGAATGAGAGATGGGAGAGAGGGATGGTCACTGTGGTGGTGTATTATGTGTGGAAGAGGTGTCTTGATGTGTGGGGCCATGGTGGGTGTGTGAGAGGGGGCTTGGGCCAGAAAGGGCTGGTTGGGCCTTGCCCCTCTCATTTTTTTTTGGCGATACACCGTAGTAGTACCGGCTGTACATCGGTACTCTGTGTCTTCTTCAATCGAGCCAGCTTTTGACTTACCGGTAGTACCAAGATTTCTCTCGGTAGTATCGGCCTCAAACAGTAGTACCGGAAGTTCATCGGTACTACTGTGTCTTCACAGTTAGTCTTTGGTTTTTTGCCTAGCGGTAGTACCGGTCTTCTACCGATAGTACCGACCAGGTCAAGTAGTACCGGTCTTCTACTGATTTGCCTAATGTCCTAGATCTGACACTGGGCAAATATAAATGTTTTTGAACTATGATTTTTTTTAAATAAAAAAACACTCAAACAATATAAACTGAAAATTAACTTTGCCGAGTGTCGATAACCCAACACTAGACAAACACTATAAAAAATAAGTTTGCCTAGTGTCTTCCATGAGACACTAGGCAAAGAGGCCAGTTTGCCTAGTGTCTAGCTGGCACACTAGGCAAACTTATTTATTTATTTTCAATTTTGGTCTTCAAACTTTTTATCGAGTGAAAGGTCCTTGTTGGTTTTGGTAATTGAGTGACAACCTAGGTGGACTAATTGTGTTTATGTGAGATACACAGGTGATTAGTCCACAGGTACATGTGTATGAGCAACATATGCCATGGAGGTGAAAATGGCTTGGAGATGTTGCAAAGCTCACACATGTGATGATGAAGGAGCTTATTGCACATGAGACATGACATTGAGTCATGTGATCAAGGTGGAGAAGATCAAGACAAGACTTGGCTTGATGGACCGGTTGCAAGCGTGAAGGGCAAGTCAAAGGCTTTGGAGTGATGGACCGCGTGGCGGTGAAGCTTGAGCAAGACTTGGCGCCGATGGACGATAGCAACGGTGAAGAGCAAGTAGAGTCAAGATCGATGAACCAATATGATCATGTGATGATATGAAGTGGATCATATCATTGTTGATCGTGTTGGTGCATGTGTTGCATCGACATTGAAGGAGATGGAATGGAATGCGCAAGGCAAAGGTATAACCTAGGGCATTTCATTTCACCGGTCATAGGTGTGTAGAGAAGTTTATGACCGGGTTTAGGATAGATGGCCGTACTATCAAGAGGGGCAAACTTGTTTGCATATCGGTCATCTAGTGCCACTCGAGTGATCTAACTTTGCATTGTCGCTAGGATCGAGTGGCGTGGCAAGTTGAGTGGCTAACATCCTTTGGGAAATGATTGTGAAAATGCTAACACACATACACATGGTGGTGTACACTTGGTGGTGTTGGCACATTTATAAAGGAGGTGGTGTTTGCAGGGGTGAGATGGGTTTGGGTCCCTCTCTCCCTCCCGCCTCGCAAGCTCGGCGGGATTCGGCGCTTTCGGGAAAATAGAATGCCTATTTTCTATTGCGCCGGATGCAAGTTCTTGTGGTTAGCACATTGGAGCAAGGGTGATGAAGTTAGAAGTGAAAATAAGTTAGTCGTGAAGATGCTGGCGTCGGTCAATTGACCGGACGCTGGATCTGAATGCACCGGACGCTGGCAAGCTGCGTCCGGTCAGGCTGACGTACGATGTCGCAGAAGCTGGAGTGTGACAGGATGCTGGCTGCGTCCGATCAAGTGTGACCGGACGTGTCCGGTCGAGGTCGATACCTTACTGGAAACGACCGGACGCTGGGGGTTCAGCGTCCGGTCAGTTGAAAGCTGCTGCGTCCGGTCAACTCAAGTGACCGTTGGAATCAGGACACGTGGCTGTCTGCGGGCGACCGGACGCTGAGGTCCAGCGTCCGGTCAACACGACCGGAGCGTCCGGTCGGCCCGACCATTGCCCAGTGAAGGGGTAACGGCTAGTTTAGCCCTTGGGGCTATAAATAGAAGTGGCCCTCGGCCATGGCTGGTGCGAAGCACCTCAAGGGACTTAGTGTCCATGCTTGTGAGTGCTTGGGAGCCCTCCATCACACACATACTTGATAGCGATCATCCGATTGTGTGAGTGAGCTATTCTAGTGCGATTGCATCGTGAGGTTGCATCGAGTGGCACTAGGTGATCGAGTTATGAGCCGGTGGTGCTTGTTACTTTTGGAGGTTGCCACCTCCTAGACGGCTTGGTGGTGGTCTCCGTCGAAGCGCGCAAGAAGCTTGTGCGGCGCTCCGGAGAAGTGCTTGTGAGGGGTACTTGTGCTCGCCCCGCGGGAGTCACGAAGAGCAACTTTAGTAAAGCGTGTCATTGAGCTACCCTCACTAAAGGGGTAGGTTCTTGTGGTGCCCTACGTGCGGGCTTAGCGGGTGATGCTAATTAGCCGCCGAACCACCAAGTGAGCGGTCGACACAACGGGGACTAGCGTGTTGGCAAACACGTGAACCTCGGGAGAAAAATCATCGTGTCAACCTTGTTCTTCCCGTTGGTTTGCATCCCCATTACACAAGCTTGCAATTACTTTTATATATCTTAAGCTTGTGTAGTTGCTCTTGTAATTAGTTAGCTTGTGTAGATTACTAGTTACCTTCTTGCTTGTGTAGCATAGAAGTAGCTCCCTTGCGTGGCTAATTTGGTTTTAGTAACCTTGTTAGTCACATTGCTTAGTTTGTGTAGCTAAGTATTTGCGCTCTCTAAGTAGCCATTCGTTGCCTTGTTATTGAGCTTTGCTAGTGAGCTTAGTTGGATTGTGCTTTTGCTTACTAGCATGTGTAGGAGCTCCCTTGTTGCTTAAAGTACTAGTGGCATAGGTTTGTGTGACCTTGCTCCTAGAATTGTTTATGAGAGCTCTAGCTAGCCCGGCACCTTAGTTGCTTTATTAGTATCTTTGCAAGGTGCTAGTGAACATATATAGAGGGGTGTAGTCTTGGCTAGACCGATTGTTTTAATTCCGCATTTATATCGGTTAGCCGACGCGATTAATTTTAGAAAAGACTATTCACCCCCCTCTAGTCCGCCATCTCGACCCTTTCAGATGTTGCACATGTTGCAATTATTTTCAAAGGCATGTTGCAATAATCTGTTTCGAGTGTTTCAGATATTTCAGAGGTATGCTTCATTTGTGTTTTACAGACGCATGTTGCAATTGTGTTTATCTGGATGTTGCAAATGTTTCACACATATGTTCCATGTGTTTTATTCGGATGTTGCGTATGGTTGCAATGGTTTTTAAGTGTGTTTTATGTCTATTTTTCAAGTGTTTCAGAAGCATGTGTCAAGTGTTTCAACTGCCTTCAGACGTATGTTGCAACCGTTGTTTTTGGATGTTTCAATAGTAGATCGGGTGTTGCATCTCTTCTCCTCCCACCTTCTGCTACATCGTCTCTCCCGAAGCCGGCGGGGCATCCATACGAACGAGGGATGGGCTATGGGCGCGGGACGAGGGAGTTGCGTGCGTTGGGCGCAAGTGAGGGAGCTATGTACGGACGGACGCTGCCTCCGGACGCTTCCTTCCGGAGCGAGATGGGCGCTGGGCAGAGAGGAGTTGTGTACGTCGCAGTTGGGAGCAGGGGCGCAGGTGCGTGGTGACTTGGTTGCGGCCGGCGTGCTCTTGTGTTGTGTGGCGCAGTGGACGCAATTCTATTCGATCGATCGATCGATTTTACGTGAGGGGGGTGCGACGTGTTTGCGAATAGAAGCCGCGTCCGGACGCAGACCTAGGGCCGGATGTCCGGGTGCTATGCTTGCCGGAAAAAAACATCAGTTACTGGGGACGGAGGGAGTAGCTGCTTACCGGCTAGCACACTCAGGACTCAGAAGTAATTATTTTTCTGAAAACGAAAAAAAACATACAATTTTGCTGGATTTCAAATGATCCCCTCACTCCCGACATGGGCAGTCGAGGGCACAATACAGAAGGCGGTAAGGCCGGCGCGGGCTGTTGTAGGCTGCGGAGTGCGGACGTAAAGTTTGGACGAGGCCTTTTCGGCCCGAACGCTTGTCGTCCCGGCCTGGCTGCCTCTAAGGATGATAACGGAACGGAAATATCTCGAACCGAACCGAACCGTATCGTTTTCTATATTTAATCTGATCGAATTCGCATTTTCTTGTCCGACTTTACCGTTTTCGCTTTCGCATTTGAGATGTTTTGTATTTCAAATGTAAGAGTAGAAAACGGTTTACACATTTTTCGACCGTTTTCTACTTTTAATTTGAAATATTCCAAATTCAAAATTCGGTTTAAACTGAATTTGACCAACTGCACAGGTCATACAACCCAATTACAGGCTGCTCACTACACAGCTGCGTTCTTTTTACTGGTGACTAGCTGCCCTCTCTTATAGACGGCGCTCAGTCTCATCTCTCTTATTATGTATTTGGTCGTATATTTGTTTAATGCTATGCACTTGAACTAGATCATGCACTTGTTAGTTGTGAACTTGTTATGTATTTGGTCGTGCACTTGTTTAATGCTATGCACTGTGGGTCGGTATTTCGTATTGAATTTTCGCATACCGACCGTGTTCGACATAATTCCGCTCGAATTGTTTCGTTTCCGAAATTCTAGATATTCCGTAAGTTCGTGTTCGTTTTCGTGTCCGGCTTGTTCGCTTTCGCTTTCGCTTTTGTATTTCAAATGTAAAAGTAGAAAACGAGAGTTTTTCGACCGAGTTCAGACCGTTTTCATCCTCAGCTGCCTCCCTGTCTCTTGGCGCCCAGTCGAGCGCGCATCCATGGCGCTGCGGCGACTCGCCCGCCACGCCCTCCACCGCGCTGTGCCCGTTCCCGCACCTCCCCCTTCCCACCCGAACTCCGAAGCCACATCCTCCTCCTGCGTTTCTCCACCTCGTCGTCCCATCCACCGCACTTCATGGTCGACTACCTCGTCTCCACCTGCGGCGTCCCGCAGGCCAAGGTCGCGAAGGCGGCCCCGCGGTTCGCGCACCTCAGATCCCCGGACAGGCCCGACGCCGCGCTCGCCTTCCTCCGCTCGCAGGGCCTCACCCGCGCGCAGGTCCGCGCCGTCGTGACGTTACACCCGACGCTGCTCCTCAGGGACGTGGACGCCACCATCGCCCCCAAGTTCCGCGCCGTGCGGTCGGTGGGCCTCACTCGCGGAGAGGCCGCGCGCCTCTTCGCTCTCTACCCGCCCGCGCTCACCTGGGGCCGTGGGGCGTCCACACCAACCTCCTCCCGCGCCTCCTGTTCTGGCTCGATCTTCTTGGCTCCACCAGGTTACTGATGAAATGCCTCGCCAAGAAGTGGCTGCTCAAGTACAGCGTCGACTGGCTCAAGGACAGCATGTCCACGCTCCGCGGCTACGGCGTCCCCGAGGCGCGGCTCGTCGCCACGTTGCGGCAGAGGCCGGCGTTGATCATGCGGTCGCCCGCCAGGCTCCGGGCGCTGGCCGCGCGCGTCGACGCGTGCGGGGTGCCACGCGGCTCCTGGATGTACGCGTGGGCGCTCCTGGCGCTGCACTGCGTCAGCGACGCCGCGTTCCGGGCCAAGATGGCCGCCGTGATGTGCGCGACCGGATGCACGGAGCAGGAGTTCCTCGCCATGTTCCGGCGCGCACCGTGCTTCGTGGGCATGTCCACGGAGTTGCTGCGCCGCAAGGTGGAGTTCCTGATAGGCACCGCCGGGTGCGGCGCCGACGACATCGTTAGGAACCCCGTGTTGCTGACGTACAGCCTCAGCAAGCGGATGGAGCCGCTGTGCCGCGCCATCGAGGCCTTGAAGGCCAGAGGCGTGGACGTCGGCAAGGAGCGGCTGGTGACCATCTTGAGAAAGCCGGAGGTCAGGTTTATGGAGAGGTACATACTGAGGTATAGCCACCAGGCGCCTGAACTGCTTGAGCTGTATCCTCCTGACCACCACAATGGTAGCTTGAGTGGCGATTCGTCCACCATTGGCAGCAGCTCGCAGTCAGAGGGTGATTGATTCACATTTCTGTTCGGACACCTCTGCAATGCGTGTTGTTTCATCAGATCTAGAGATTGACAGGGACCATTGTTTTAACATGATTTGAGCAGAACAGAAGCTTATACATAAACAACAAACTAAAGCGTATCATTTTGTTCTGGCTTTGCCGTTATCTGCTGCTTCACATTCTGAACGGGAGCAATATTCTTCGCTGGCCAGTTTATTGCTGCGCCATCGTTGTTTCGCCATCTTTATCATCACTTGAGACATTTGGAGATGATCCTAGTATTTACTTATAGGCACATGCAGGGGCCAGTTCAAATGATGCCAAGCTGGTCAGGTCAGGAGCTCACTTAAGGGGGTGTTTAGATTCGGTGATTAAAGTTGGAGGTGTCGTATTGGGGTTCGGATACTAATAAAAAAAATAAATTACAGAACTCGTCAGTAATCCATGAGACGCAAGCCTAATTAATCTGTCATTAGTACATGTTTATTGTAGCACCACATTATCAAATCATGGACTAAAGGGGTATTTGGATCCAGTGACTAAAGTTTAGGAGGTGTAATATAGGGGTGTCGCATGGAGTGTTCGGATACTAATAAAAAAACAAATTACAAAATTTGTTAGTAGTCCGCGAGACGAATTTATTAAGCCTAATTAATCCTTCGTTAGCACATGTTACTATAGCACCACGTTGTCGAACCATGAACTAATTAGGCTTAAAAATTCGTCTTACAAAACAGTCTCAATCTGTGCATTTAATTTCGTAAGTGTCTATATTTAATACTACATGCATTTACCCTAACATCCGATGGGACAACGACTAAAGTTTAGGAGGTAGAACCAAACACCCCCTAATTAGGCTTAAAAATCCGTCTCGCAAAACAATCTTAATATATGCATTTAGTTTCGTAATTAGTCTACATTTAATACTCCATGCATGTGTCCAAACATCCGATGAGACAACAGGCGATTTGCAAAAATGGAACTCAAAATATCAGTCGTTTGCTGATTTAACACTGGACCCACATTCATAGACACAGATGGACCCACTTGTCATCCACCCGAGTGTCACCATAGTCAAAGAGTCAATCTTTCTTGAGTGTCATTTTTGTAATTTTTTCATTTAGAGGAGGATCCAAACACCCCTAAATTTATAACGAACTGAAACATTTGCTCAGCCCTGCTGTGCGGGCAATGTTCAGAGAAGAGGCAATCAACAAGACACACAATTCAACAGCAGAAATAAAGAGATTAAGAACCCTCACAATCAACTACATTCTCTTGTGACCAAAACATTGTTGCAGTACGTACGGCAGTGTTAGACATCAGCAGAACAGGTCAGCTAACACAACACATCAGCATGCTAAACAAATCTTATCAACACGGCATGCTTAGTCTTCACTACTATCCAGGACGGTCAACTACATCAGGCATGAAAGATCGACAGATCCTAACAGGGAGTACATCAGGCATGAAAGATCGACAGATCCTAACAGGGAGTGTAGAAGGTCAAGCTATCCGACCTACACGGAGTAGTGTACAATGCCTTCGCTGCTTAGTGCTGACCCCTCACTGTCCAGTTTCCTCTGCCCACGGCGAAATAACTAGTGCATGGCATCCACCTGGAGACGAGCTCAGTAGGCTACTAGCAGTAGATACCAGTTCAAAACGCACTGAATTTCGCCGAAGGAATTGACACCCTTCTGGGACCACAACCTTTGCTGTGTTTGGTAGTCAACACTGAACAGGGAAGGGAGGAAAGTGCTACGGTCTACTTGGCCGCATACCAATTCTGTGCACATTTGGCATCAACAGCAAGGTCGACCTTCAGGATATTGGTGCCGTAGAAGGGCTTAGACATGCACTCAACCACTATGGACTTGGCCAGCTCCGCAGACTCTGAAGGCCCTTCCAGTATCACTTCATCATGCACCTGAAAGATGGAGCTGTCAGTTCTGCTAGGTCTAAAATTATGTTGCATTTATTTTTCAAAAAAGGCTAGAAACTAGAATAGTACTCCGGGGAAAAAAATCTGCAACCATCAAATGTATCCATTTTGACTCAATACGGGATACCAAAGGTCAAGTACTCTAGTTACAGGAGTCATAAAAAAGTCGTGTCCTTTTCAGTTTCAAAGGAGAAAGCAAAGTATGCGAACATTTAACCAGTGATCAGACCTAACTTTATGCACGAACTACCTGCAAGAGGAGCGTCCAACCAAGCTCCTTAAGACGAGTATTCCTGTCTATCTCAAGCATTGCACACATAGCAACATCAGCTGCACTGCCCTGTGGTGTTCAAAGAAAATAATTTCAGCACAAAACTAATTTCAACGAGGAGTTGCAAGAGACAGTAATCACCTGTACAGGAGCATTGATAGCAGCACGCTCAATGTGACCCCTTTGGCCAGAAGTTGCATGAGCCATATTTGGAAAACGGCGTGATCGCCCAAGCAATGTATAAACTTCAGACTTCTCATGTGCTAGCTGTTTCTGTTTCATTTGCCAAGCCAGAACCTCCTTTCTATCGCTATACCAGAGTTTCAGTGTATCTTTTGCTTCCTTAACAGAAACCTGACAAGAGAGGAAGGGTTACAAGAAGCCATGAAGGCTACATTTCTTGTAAACATGGCTCCTCAGCAAGTGTGTTGCTGACTGGCACAAACCCAGTAATCCAAAGCTCAGACTTAAGTGTAATGCACACTAAAGTTGACTTGCTGCTTAATTTAGAGCTATGTTTGTTTGACAAGTTTGTACCTTCCAATCACGAGCAAGCCCATGGGGCGTTTTCCCATATGCAATGGAGAAATTTAGCATCTTAGCTTTCCTCCTCTCAGCGCCAAAAGCATCCTACGTCACAAGAAAAGCATTAGAGTCCATTTTTTCATACACGCCATGTATATTCCCATGCTAATATCCATAATTAACTCCACAGTGTACAAGTTCTGGACCAGATGGATTGGGCGGTAAAAGGAAAAGGAAAGGAAACTGTATGTGCATGGAAGTGCGGTACAAAAGCTAATAACCTAGTAGTGCTGAACATAATTTTAACAATTAGAAGGAATCAACATAATTCTCAGAAACACCATTAAAGCTAGCATACCTTCAACAACGGCACGGGAGGTTTCTCTTGACCGGGTTGAGGATGCCACTCAAGAATTACTTTCTCTTCTTCAACAGCCTCACGAATATGCGGATACATGTTCATGGCTGTCCTGGAATGGAAGTCACCGCCAGCTCTGAAAGCATCTAACATGCTTTTACAATCAGCAAGATGCGCCAAGATCCTGAGTTCCAGCTACACACAAAACAAATTTGTCTTTTTTACTTGGAACTAGTATCATCAGCATACAAACATTCAAAAACTCTACTGCGCACAAGCATACCTGACCATAATCAGCAACAATAAGAGTGTTCCCTGGAGCTGCAACAAAAGCTTGGCGGATTTTATACCTATCCTTTTCAAGCGCAGGTTGGTTCTGTCATGGAGTAATTTAGATCACAAGTACAACAAATTACTTGATGTTGGTATCACAGTACTACAATATTTAAAGCAACCAGCTCACAACTTGCAAACCTTGACAAAACATTTCTCATCTTTTGGTTATCATATTAAATACTGCAACAACCTGGGCTACCTATTTTGGCAGAAACAAAACAGAGCTTATTTTAACAATATCAGTACCAGTTCTTCATTTATGTTCATCCACACATATTAAGAATACAGAACTTGCCAATCTAAGTATCTAACTGCTGCATACATTTGGGTAACAGATTATTGTCTATTTGAGTACATTAGCTTGAACTATCATCTATTGCTTTGTAAGTATGACACTTCCTGTTGGTCCTTTTCTGAAATGCTCTAATATGTAGAAAGACAGCAAAAATCTTGTATAATTCTTGACCTCTAGAATGTCATTTCATACTGCAAAACACGTGCAAACTCCCTAAAATCATAAATGCCAACCTGTAAATTTGGTGCCCTTGCCGATAAACGCCCTGTTTCTGTGTTAATATTTAAGGAACAGTGGATCCGCCCTTCCTTACATGATATATGATTTCCCTGCCAGGGGAACAAAATGATATAATAAATATAAATAGGATAAAGATACAGATAGATAACTAAGACTACTAAGTGATTGCTCGCATAGCATGTGTACAATAATGACTGCTGCAACGCAATCTACATTAGAGTAGGTGGAGCCAGCTCACCTGTAGAGGAAGAATGAAGTTGGATATTAACGAGTCAATAGAACAGATCTCACACAAAGCTGCAATGGCATGGCATGCTTCTTTTCCTTCCTTTCCTCCTCCAAATGCATCATATGCAGTTCCATAAGAAGAGGTGTCTTCTAGATCACAATTGGAAATTTCAGAATGACTACCACATTCATCATCATTTACATCATCTGTTGAGTAAACGAGATCTGATGGAACCTTCCCAGCCAAATTTCTCAATGCATCGCCACTAACTGAAGGCCAGCCACTTGCAGTAAATATATCAGTTTTCAGGTCTTCCACAATGTTGAAAAGTTCAATTGTGCGATACTTTGGAACCTTCTTGCCTTCTGAAACTGCAGTTTCATCGTTAGGCACTTTAATAGCTTTACTCTTCGGCAAAAAATCACCAGGTTTGCATCTGTACAAAGATTAAAAACATCAAGATTTCTAACGATTGCGTGCAAGAAATATCTAGGATACAAACTTAAACATACATTGACTAAAGTTTTTTTCCTTTTGTTTTGTATTTAATAGACATACAGGAACCTTTGCTCTCTAAGTGACAGATGGATGATGAAGAATACACAAAATCTGGATACCCAAAAGGAACTTTGAAGAGAGAATATATGATGGTGAGGGTTATACCTGTTATCTATACCACCAAAGAAGAGTTGTCGAATCTGAGTATCACTATTAACATTCATGTACTTTGCATCAGGGCAATACTTAGATGCCCACTTCCGAAATTTATCTGCAGCTAATTTGCGCTGTGCAACAGCAACCTTTTCAATCTCTGAAAGGTAAGCACGGTCAACAAGCATTCCAGCTGTTTCCATTTTTACAAGAATAGCGCCGAAAGGACGCCAATACTCCTCGTAGAAATCGTACAATGAACCTCTGGGGCAACCGTCAAAAGTCCAAGGCTTCCTTTCAAGCTTGCTTTTCAAGCTTTCATAAAGCTTCAAGGTACTCATGGAATCTAATGAAGAATAGCAGATCCACAATTCTCTGTCTTCTCTTTGTAAAATTTCAACAGGCTCGATTGAGGTAATCTTCCCTTCTGATCCATCCTTCTTTATCTTTTTCCTACCAAAGATGGTTTTCATTGATCTCTTCCCAATCTTTCGCAATTCCTTTGAGACAACACCCATGACCCTATGATCATTTGTAAGTCCCTCAAGAGAATATCCTCCATCCGTTCTTCTTGAAGAATCCCAAAGTCTTGCAAGATGCATTGTATCAGCATGAAATCCAGCAACTTTAATTCCATAGTTCTCTATGACATGACTATCGAAACTATAGTTGTGCCAAACCTACACAAGAAAAATAGATACTTGCTTAAGATTCAAACGATAAGACAACAGAGGTATATGTTTTATCCTATTCCTATATACATTCCATAAATAGCAAAGTTTGACTAGAGATGGCAAAAAAAAAGGGTAAAGTCAGTGAAAAAAGATAATTCAGCATGCAACACATAGTAAAGTTGTAAGCATGAGTTTTAAGCTGCATATCACCTTCCTTATTGATGAATCCTCAAAAAATGGGGCAAACTCCATGAGTACATCTGGTCCACCATCCAGCACATCCACCCAAATGCATGTCTTGCCATTTCCAAAATCAGCTTCAGCACCTTTAGTGCCAGAGTAGATGCTAAAGCATGTGACCTTTCCATGGCCAACTGGTGTCTCTTGTTTAACATCAATATCTACCTGCATAGCATTGAATTCTCCTGAATTATAACACCAAAGAGTCGATATGCGTTCAAAAGGAAAGAAAGTTTCCCAACATATAACTCAATTGTCCAGTAATAGGGATGCAAGTCCCACTTTTTTTTTGTCATTGGACCGATCCAAAACTTGCTAAAATGAACTAAAATGACATGTCATTTCATTAATTTAGGGAAAGAAATGAACCAGAACAGCATGCTACGTAATTAATTAGCTGACCCAGAAAACACCATTGCGTACCCGTGTGCATCCCTGCCCAGTACATACCACTGAACCAACAAGATGATGATGGGTATCTACTATTCTACTCGCTGTTCAAGATACATGACAATAGTGACACCTTTTCCCCTCATTTTTCATGGATGTCATAGTGAACAACAAAGGAATAGGTAGGCATAAATGATGCATAATGAACATAAGTTGCAGAAAGAAGCAGACACTAGAATAAAAATGGGTTGGTATCTAGTCATATGTTGAACTTTGATTAATGAATGCTAAAGGAGTATATACTACCTGATTGAATATGTCAATATTAGATTCAGGCAACAAGTCATGACCACTATAAACAAACATAATTACATAAAGCATTTGCATAGATGTTTGAACAATCGCAAAAGGCTTAATGCCTTACCTCTGTGTCACATGCATGAATATAATTTCTGTACTTCGTAGTAAGCAGTTGAACAACACTCCTAGCTGACATGACATTGTCAACCACCAGAACTTTGTCATAGATGGTAACAAGTGCCTTCCGTGCATCTATAGACTCCTGGATAAGGGCGCTCTAGCTGGAGAAGGTTGTACCATCTCCTCGGGTGAGCATTCATTCACATCTTTAGCATGGCCATCTGTAGCATTTTCATCAAATGGCAAGCTTGTTTCAACTTCAGAGATTTTCGGAAGAGGAGAATGAAACTTGGGACCATTAGGCCAATGAGCCTCCACTTCAGATTCCTTAGGCCTCTTCACCGTTTTAATGTGATCATTAACAACACTGGTCAGTGCTGTCACAGCAACTGCAGCACGATTAATCGCATGATGCTTTGCCAGTTCCGTGTTGGCGTGCCTATTCGCAACAGAATTCGGTGCCATTCTTTGTCTTACACTGTGCAATAGAGATTGGTTGGAGCTCTTGAAATCTTCCAAGGGTTCATGATGGAAAATACCCGACCCTAGATGAGTGGAACCATTACTATTGCTGGCTTTGCTTAAGGATAACCTCCTGCTCTCGTCAGCCCATTCTTGCGCGCCGCTACTTTGCACATTAAAGTTGACACATACTGGAAGCTTAAGAGCTCGGCTGTCTTGAATTCCAAGGACTGAGCTCTGGGAGTACTCCTGCCTGGCAATCAGCCATTCTAAAAGTCAGAGGTGAAACACCAAATGATGGACATTTTTTAATGGCTGCTATTAGGCCAATAGGTAGGATACTCTGGAGGAACATCACCACATGTTCGCTAACAAGGTTCAGCAAAAACACTACCACCAGAAGCAATAGCTCCGTCCTGCAGGCTATGGATGCAGAGCCAAAATACAGAACAGACACTATTTGGCTCACTCATCCCTGATTGGTTCACAGATAGAGATTATTACTAGCATCAATCCAGAACACGACACACAAGGTTCCCACGAAACAACAGTAATCACCAGAACATCAACACATCATTGAGCTAACCAAAGTGCAAACCTCAATCTAATCAAATGTTTTATCACCATCACCGCTACGGCCTAATCACGCAGTACCATAAGCTCTAAGGTCACCGGAACGAGCATTGGACCGCTAAACAGTAGGGGGGCATTACCTTCTGGCGCCAGTGAACGGCGACATCATGGAGCGGCCGCGGCGGCGGGAGCGGAAGGGCGAGGGCGCCCAGGGAGGTGCGGAGCACGGGCACCACCGGAGCAGCGCGGGCGCCGGAGCGGGCGCCGCCCCGGCCATCGCCATGGACCCCACGAGCCGCCTCAGCCTCCCGCCCCCTCCCCCCACTCCCCCGCCGCCGCAGCCGCAGCCGAGCCCGCAGGGCGCCGTCTTGGACCACACCGCGCGGCGCGGGCGAGGCGAGGCACGCGTCTAGGGTTGAGAGCGGGTGGCGCTGGGCGCGGGCATTCGGCGGCCTCCGGGAGGCGAATGGAGCGTAGCGGGAAGCGGCGGCGGGAGGAGGAGGCAGGGGCAGCTGGCCAGTCGGGCGACGTGGACTTGAGGAGGGGGATAGGGAGAGGCAGGGTTTACGCCAGCGCCAACGGCGGACTCCGGAATCGTATCTGTGCCTCCGCCTCTCGTGTCGCGGCTGCCAAGCGGGGACAGGGACCAGGAACACGGGGGCAGCCGCAGCGTAGGCGTTGGTGGTGTCCCAGGGACCCGGTCCTTTTTTACTACGTGCACACCGTGGCCGCCACCAGCGTGTCTGGCAATATTGGTCTTTTGTGTGTGTTGTTTATTTTCGTGTGTACAGTCAGGGGTCAAGATGGCAACGGGTACCCGAAACCCGAGTACCCGACGGGTTTTACCCGATAAGGAGGCGGGTATGAAAGATATTTTGCACCCGCGGGTACGTTATTGGACGAATTCTTGTACCCATCGGATATGCGGGTACGGGTGTGGGTGTATACTACCCATACCCGCATACCCGCGGGTAAAAAAACCCGCATAAATAATATCCAACCTCTGCAATTTTAGCCCATATAAGCATATAGCCCATATTTGGCCCATATAAGCATATGAGTATATATATTCTAGAACTCCCTCAAACCCTAATCATCATCCTCACTCCACTCCACCAGCTCATATTTCTGTTTTGCTGCTCTATTGTTGATTTGTTTTGCTGGAAGCTATTATATTTTGGTGTGTGAACTCGGGTATATTGTGGGGTAAGAATTACCCGTCGGGTGCGGGTATGGAATGAATTTTCTACCCGCCTGCGGGTACGGGTAACCCGACGGGTAAGATTTTGATCTGACGGGTGCGGGTACGGGTGGTCAGTATCCATCGGGTACGTACCCGTTGCCATCTTGAGTCAGGGGGTACACAAATGCACATCGGTCGGTGTGGGCGTTATGGTTGTTTATTAGTGGGGTTTAGACGTTAGTGGATGATTTGGAGAGCTTTAATTAGTTTGGTGGACCTCCTAATCGTGAACATGGTGGGCACGTGTTAGTTGAAAGGTTAGTTCTCATTCTTTTTTAGGTACACGATTATTAATTTACTAGGTAGCTACTCCTCGTTCCGTCCCAAGGTGTTAGAGCATCTCCTAGAGTTTCTGAAATCCACTCTTAATCTTGATTTTTTTTTGTCAAGATTAAAAAAAAACTGCCGGCAACTCTCTACCTTAACTCCGAATCCTTGTGCACTTGAAAAAATTGACCCAATCGTGCAAAAATTTACGCGCGCATTTCAATTGGCAAATCTAGAGGTGGAAAGATATGGGAAAAAAATAAAGAGTAGGATAGAATTCTCAATGCAAATGTACATAAAAGAAAGAAAGTATAAAAACAGTTAGTGTGATATGAGAATAGTCCAGGATTCCTGGTGCAAAATTGTCTTCTATATTTTAGTAGCGGGATTTTGGAAACTATTGGAGAAGCTCAACAAGCATACTCCCAATTTTTTTTGGCCACTTGGAAAATTTATTGATTTACCAATTGATCTTTTTAGAAAATATTGGAGATGTTCTTATAATATCTGTGGTATAGACTAAGACCTTGTTTGGTCGGGCTTGTGGCTCTAGCTCCTTGCTACAATATCGGAGGAGTAGGAGTAGGAGGAGCCGCAAAACGTGGCTTCTACGGCTCCTAGTTTATTTTATAAGGAGAGAGAAAAAATGGCTCGTATAAACAATATTGCTATAGTTCCTAGTAGGAGGAGCCAGAACCACAGGAAGTTATGCCAAATATGCCCTAAGGATCAAACAAAATAACCTGGATACCCCACAAAAGTATTACTAAACAACGATAATATGGTGTTGGATAGTGTCAAATAGTACGATAATGCCCTTTTTATGAGATGGATTTTAGATGTTATAAGGTTTTTCTTTGTAGGACGAAGAAGTACATGTCAATTAAAAGTATATATATTATAAGAAGTTTTATGCTACCTTCAAACAACAAACATATATTCGTCACTTGAAAAACATTCAAGAAACCAAGAACAAGCAATGTTGGTGTGGAAATAACTAGATGTAGGAGAAACATGGAAGTATAAAGCAAAATCATACTTACAGATAAGTTACTTAATAAGCAAAAAAAAAAAATCTCCTTCATAATCGCAAAAAGAATTATGAGGCTTTTGGTTCCCGGTCTTCAAACGCCACGCGCACGACTGCGGCGGCACCACACATATTCTGTCGTGTGCTTGGTTGATGAGACATGTTAGACAACTACTTCCACAGCAAAAGTTTCACAAATCCCGCCACACTCTGTGGCGCTGATTGCCCTCACCACAAACCGTGGCATTACCGCAAACGAGGCATGGCAACTCATGGCTGGCATCCAGAGCAGGCCTTACATATGAATACTAGTGGACTACCCCGCGTGTTGCTGCGGGGATTGCGGATCAGTGAATTACGTGGTATGATGACGTGGATAATAAAAAGCCTATGTGTCTTGCTGACATGGACATTACAGTTGTATGTGCTAATGGATTTTAATTATATGTGACAGTGCATTGCCTTGTTGGACACCTTGCATGTTGATTGAGTTTTGCTTAGTGGATGTTAATTTTATGTGATAGTGCATTGTCTAGTTGAATAACTTGCATGTTGAGAGAAATAGCTAGTGGAGTTTTGCTTTATAAGAGTATAAGATAATCTTGCATATCCTATGTCACATTCATATGTTGTCCCTAAATTTTTTTACGGCTAGTTTTGTCACAAACCCGGCAACTATTCGCCTGTAGCAAGCGTGGTCAGCCCTCATTCAAACCTGGCAAAAAAAAGTAGTTATGCTAGGCAACCCAAATGAATAACAAGATATACTCGTACACCACCATCAGGGTGCTTACAAACTACTTTCTCAAGCCATGCCCATACCTCTTTTTTTCCCCCAAATAATGTCATCCAATCTTCTTGTAAAAAAAATGTCATCCAATCTTGCAAAACCATTAGATAGACATGGCATGCTGCCTACACCAAAGATTTTACTTAAATTAGCAAAGAAACCTCGTACATCCACACCAAAGGGATCGAACACACTGCAACTTTCTTAGCGCGTCTCACAAAGACCTTGTCTTGCCGTTCATGCATCCTACAGTACAATGCAACAGCCCTCGGACGGACACCTCCCAAAAATGACTCAACATGAGGATCTCTCCTCCACAGCACGCATATTAGTACTAGCTAGCTAGCGCTAGGTAACGACTCATCATCGTCCATAGTCATTTACAAAAACTGCCCCGTAACACCGTGGCTCAGACGGAGAAGTCTCCATGCATAAATTAAGGTTCAAGTGCTATAGCTAGCTTATTAGCAGATCATCGTCATCTCCATCCCGCCGGCGGCAACTCGATCGGCGGCATTATCGTCAGCTGGATGGCACCGGGTAGAACTTGCCCCTGCACATGCAGCGGTACACCATGGGGCACGGCAGCGGCTCCGACGCGGAGCACTTGAAGCTGACCATGACGCGGCTGCACGGCGAGCACGCCCCGCACGCGTGCGAGCAGTCCGGGAGGCTCGACCCCGTGGCGCGCACCACCTCCTCCCGCAGCACCAGGTCGTCCTTGCCGCCCCTGCTCCTCCTCCCCTGCACCTAAACGTACGTACCGAAACGACACATGATGATCAGTAGACAGTAGTGCATGCATGTCTGTGTTGATGATTCAAATCGAGCCAACGTTGAGTCGTCTGGTCGACATGACATATATATATATACCTGTGCAGCTGACGGCACAGCTACCACCATCGCCGTTGATCCATGCGCCAGCTCGTTCGCCCCAGCAGCTGTTCAAATGAAGAACTCGATCGATCGATAATGCGTATCTGGAAGAAACGTGGATCTGTATCATGGCAGTAGCTGCACTTACCAGGAACCAGTCTGATGCCATCGCTCACGGCAGCGAGCAGCAGCACTACCGTCAGAGCAAGAAGGACGCAGTGAACTCCAGCAGCGTCCCTCCCCATCAGCCCAAATAAACCGTACGAGCTCGGCGCGCTTGGCACTGTCGGCTGCTGAGACGTCGCGGCGTGGTGGTGGCGGAGCGCCGAGAGGGCGGAAGGCTATATATGTGAACGAACGAAGCAGTTGCTCTTTTGTCGCGCGAGGGCTAGCTGCACCTGCACGTACGTCGTCGCCGCGCCGAGCGTACACACACACACCAGCATGACCGAGCTCGCGAGACAGCAACTAGCGCGGCCATTGATGAGAGGCGCAGCGGCTGCGCGGGGGACCTTTGATTGTGGGTCACATGATCCTCGGCCCCTCACATGGATTCAATGACCCCCTGCCGCGCCAGCCCGCCGCTGGAGCCTCGCGCAGCGCAGGCACCAGGCAGGCACCGCAGCCCCGGGGGCCGGGGGCGAGACGCGACGTGGCCATTCAAGGCCGGCCCTCCCTTAATTTCCACAAAAGTTTGCTTTTTCTCCCTAAACTTCAAGATCGGACAAAGCACCTCCCTAAATTTTTAAAATCGTTCATCTTACCTCCCTATTCCGGTTATAAGGGATTTTTTCAAGGTGGTTTTATCTTTTTCTTTTTTATTTATTTCGGTTGAATCTTTGAAAAATTATAGTAAATCACAGAAAAATCATAAAATAGAAAATCTAATTTTCTTGGACTCCACGTGAGTAGATCTACACAGTGAACATATAATATGATATGCTTTAGTATAAAGTTTTTGCTGTAGCTTTAGATCTATGATTTTTTTAATCAAATGAAATAATTCATAGCTGTAGTTTTTGCTGTAGCTTTAGATTTATGATTTTATTTAGGTTTATAATTGTTAAATATAAATAAATCTATAAATAAGCTATACATGATCCAATGAGTATGAAATTTTTACTACAGTTCAATCATACAATAATTAGCTCACCATAAAAAATTCATCACAATTGGACCATAGAAACTGCAGTTATGAATTATTCCAATTAATTACAGAAAAGAATAGATCTAAAGCCACAGCAAAAACTTTGTACTAAAGCATACCATATTATATGTTCACTGTGTACACCTACTCATGTGGAGTCCAATAAAATTGGATTTTTTTTATTTTTATGATTTTTCTGTGACTTACTATGATTTTTCAAAGATTTAGGCGAAATAAATAAAAAAGAAAAAGATAAAACCGCTTTCAAAACTGCTTATAACAGGGTCAGGGAGGTAAGATGAATGGTTTTAAAAGTTGAGGAATATATTTTATCTAGTTTTAGAGTTCAGAGAGGAACAACAGACTTTCGTAAAAATTGAAGAAGGCAATATAAATTTTTTCCTATATTTACGGGCTACGGGGACCAGGCCGATGGAAGGGAGGTAATATGGATTTTTTTCTATATTTACGGGCCACGGGGACTGGGCCGATCGCGACGGGGCATACGGCAAAATCGCCTGCGGCCTGGCCTGCCGCGTCTTTTGAATGGCGCGTCGCGACTTGCGAGGGCCTGCCGGCTGCCGCCCTGCCGAGAGCTGAGAGACCTCTGCCCTGAAGGATTCGTGAACCGGAGCGGGGACTGGTCGGACTGCCGGTCGCGCGGTGGCCCGTGGGGAGCCTGCGGCGGTTTTGAATGAAGCCGCCATTTTTCCGCTCTCGCTCTGCGTTTCGTGATTCCACGCACAGTGGCAGGGAGCCAGGGACGAAGAGTTCAGCCGTTGCCGCATGAGCTGAGCTCAGCTCTGCCTGCCTGTCGCGCGCTGCTCTGCTGCTGATCACGCGCGATGGGAGCTGAACTGTGCGCAAACTCTCTGAACTCGTCGGCGCGTCACGTACTGACGTACCCTCGCTGGTTAAAGGCTAGGAGGAGAATCCAATAGGCATGGACGCATCACTCATGGTCCCGGCCTGTGTTGCTGGGAAGTGAAGTGGACAGATTGAAACTGCCTTGCATTTATGGATGAAAACGGGACGGAAAATTCCCGTACCGACCAACACCGTATACCGCATTAACCGATTGCATACCGTTTTTATAGGAAAAACAGGAAACGGGAAACCGACACCGTATTTTAGGCAGGAACGGGAACGAAATTAGTTAAGGAATTTTCCCGACCGTATTCACGGTTCCCGTATTTGGGCAGAAAAATTCCCGACGGTATTCCCGTATTTTGTACACCTGCTGTTGCAGCCTGCTGTTTGTTGCAGTACTATGTTGTATGCAGGCAGCTCCACTCGTGAGAGAAGGCAGAGTTGAGCAATTCATGGACCCGAGGATTGGCACGCAGTACCCACCTGGCCGAGCTCTCAAGGTCTTCTACCCTACTACCCTCTACCTATTCACTTTGTTCTCGCACAGCCACAGCAGTATGAATTATGACGGGTTGCATCCATGATGCCTGATCGGATCGATACTAACTGCTGCCAATGGTTTCTGCATGCCCTGCAGCTGGCGAGGATAGCGATGTGCTGCCTGCAAGAGAACCCAAAGTCCCGGCCATCCATGGGCGACGTTGCCCAAACGATCAGCTGCCAGCCTGCCACATCGTTTCATCGGAGACCAGTATGGCCATGTAGGCTAGGCTAGCGCTGGAGGGGATTTGACGGCGGTGAGGGGCGACAGTAGTGCCGGGCGCCAAGATGCTGGCGACGCTGGGAGTTAGACTCTTGGAGTTATCGCTTCCCGATCGTAATCGATACGTTCCCGTTCGAAATATTCCGTTCCTGATATCCCGTAATACTGGTTTTATTTTCCCGTCCGGCATTTCCGTTGCCGACAAAAAAAATACAGGAGTGAGAATGGTTAAGATATTTTCCCGACCGTTTTCATCCCTACTTGCATTGCATTGCATTGCATCGATGCTCCGTGCGAGCGACGGCACTGCTTTCTCATTGGATCGTGGAGAATCCAACCTCTGGTGTTCGCATGAAGAAAGAAAAACAGAATACTAGAGCACATGTGAACATTGCATGGTTTATGCCCTTTTACCCCGCGAATCTCGGAGGAGCAAATCTAAGCAACCATCGGTTGAGCTTGAGCGGGCAAATATTGTCAGCATCTCGGCAACGGTATTAATCTAGTCTTCTAGGATATATAAAATAAAGTATCACCATAAGCACCAACGGATCCGTGGCGCAATGGTAGCGCGTCTGACTCCAGATCAGAAGGTTGCGTGTTCGATTCACGTCGGGTTCAAACCCCCCCGATCCAAGCGGATTTCTTTTTAATTTTTTTCTTTTTTCTTTCTATTTTTTCTTTCTATTTTTCCTTGCCTTTTCCCTGTTTATTACACGTTGCCTCTCTGTTTTCTTCACTCTAATCTTTTTCTTTAGTTTCCGATTTTGAATTGATTTCTCTTGGATTACGAGCTGGCAGTGGTTGCACAAACAACTGATGTACGATGCCGACCGTCGTCCCACAACACACATAAAATTCCTAGTTTGCCATCCGCATAAACCTAAGTGCTTTTGTATGCCACTTGGAAGATACGATTCCCATATATGTTAAAACTGTAAATCTTTCCATACTATAAAGGTGGTGGCTCAGACACTCAGTAAGCATCCTATGTTAAGGAACATTCCTCTGTTGGGCACTTCAGCTATATAACCTACAAGTAAAGGGCGCGCGCCTTCGCGCGTGCGTGTAAAGGAGTATGGCCAGAATTACGAGTGTGTGATGCACATGTCGTAGGCACGGTCGTTTGCATAGTTAAGGTACCTTCACTGATATATATTTACAGAATGGTGAAAGTACAAAGGTGCAGGCATATGGCAGTGCCATCGCGGTAGTCGACGGTGTACCATAAGAGGTCGCCGTGATTTACAAAGTGTAGGTACGATGACTGGTTCATATTTACAAAGTGTATATACTGCATAGTTAGCTAACTGTAACTGAAGTTATGACAGGCTGGCTGATATAGTAACAACACGCTGAGGAACAGATGCTTTTTCACAAGAGGACCTGTTGTTGGGGTGGACTGGAACCCTTCTTAGTTCTATAGCAACAGGTGATCAGGTCCATTTGAATCCGTGACCTAATCTGATTGTGTTGCTACCACGCCTACAACCTGTATCAAGGATAAGGTAGTTTTCCCCAGTATCATACTTTGCAGTAAAGAGAGCATGTATGTCCGGCCGAAAAAGTTGTGTTTCACTTCAAAATTATCAATCTTCGCTTTCTGAGGAAATTTTGTGATTTGTGAATCTGTACAGACTATCTGAACTGAACTTCCAAAATAGGTCAACCTGATATATTCTATTGTTGTTCTAAATAGCCTAATGAGTGATGAGCATAGCAGATATGATCCTTGAGTACAAGATTTGTAATATGGTGCCACCACTATTTATCAATTAATATAATACAAGCAGAGCTATATGGGCAAGATTTTAGAGTAGAAATCAAAATAAGGAACTCATATATCAGTTTTCTTTGTTGGCAAAATCGATGGGCAGTTGGCAATCCGAGATAGTGCAACTTCATAGCTAAAAATCAAAGCATTAATGACCACACCTGTGAAAAAGAAGGCAATCTATTCTCCGATACATATATTACGTCCCACCATCCTACAATGAACAAACAAGTATGGAAGAGAAAAATAAAGGCATGGTATATTCGAATAAGGTTGGAAATGGAATCGTTGAAAAGAAGGGCTGCCTGCATTTGTCGTAGTCACCATATTGGCACGATTAAAAAAAACAGGGAACTCAAGCTGCAGGATGCACCCCAAATTTCATTTCATTAAACCTTTTTTTTTGAGATTTTAGATATAAACCTGAAATTGTTTCTATGTCAAAAAAAAAAAAAACTCAGAGGCTGTCTAATAAGCTGTGCAAATCACAATTACCAGAGGCTTGAGGCCTTCACTGACAGCCATGGTGGTTTCTCCTCCAACCCCAGGATTAGAAGACCAGATGACATCCTTGGAATCATTTAAAAATAATTTGTTAGTGGTTACCATACGGGAAATACGGAACACAAGCAATTATACATTAATAGGAAATAACAGATAGGTATTGCACAGATAAATACTGCATGCATTT